TGGGAGGACGGATATGTAGGTAAGCTACCTGGTGTTCTTAGAATTGCTATAAAGAGCAATCGGTGTATTGCAAAGAGCAATCTAAATGGTTGCAAAGAGCAATCTTCTATTCTTGATACAAGAAAACTCAATACTATTAACCACAGAATTAAGATATCAACCGTTAATAACTAGAATAAAATATTAACCATGGCAATTTCTATTTTCCTTATGCATTTAATGTTTTCTCCACACTCATTAGATTCCTTGAGTAATGGAACAGTTAAAACCTTATTCTTAGAAATTCCCACATACCAAACTATAAAGAAATTCTTAATAACAGTCCTTAATCCTTTAAAATAACAATGTCACATCACAATATCCGACTAAAATATATTGAAACCAGAAATACAAAGATTTAAAAGTTTAAACACTTGAATAGTTTCAAAGTACTTTTCTAAATAACCATAGGGTCATAAACATTATGGAATGGAACGGTCATAAAAAATAAAACCATATAAATAAAATAAAATAAAACCATATAAATCACAATTTTTGTGGGATAGCCAAAGCTGAACTTGTTATTATCATAAATGCTTATATTATTAAAAATATTTATTCTTAACCATACATAATGAGCTTAGTGCCCATTTTCAGAAATGGACTCGCAATTTTTCTCCTTCTGGGGAGAATGACAAGGGGCAGGGGTGTGGGAAGGCAAAAATAGAACATATAAGCTCATCTTTAGCTGCAGGGAAAATCTGACCAATTGCATGTGTCAAATACTGTGAGGTGTGGTTTGTGACCAGGACTGATGCTGTCAGACCTCCTTGGGCCACAGACGTGACCACGAAGTGCTCTGGTCCTGAATATAATATCCAGTGGATTTAGGGGAAGAAATGGACCTTTGGAAAGCAAGGAGTGTTCACGTAAAAGCCCAGTTAAGCCCCACAGAACATCAGGAGGATCTGTAAGCAAACAGATAGACCAGTTTTGCCTTCTAAGGCCCATGATGTTGGCCAATAAAGGGATAGGGAACCAAAAATAAAAAATAAAAATAATAAAAGGGAGAAAGGTGGCAATGGCACAATTTCAAGGAATGTGGCTGAGCTTTGCTGTGAGCCCCGTGAACTCCTGAATGCCCTAAATGAAGAGCAAGTGAAATAAATGGTCTGGTACATTTTAAAAGGCAGAAAATTCTAGTGAAAGCTGCTGAGTTTCCCATTTCCAATCTTCCTTAGTCTGTTCTTCAGGGCAGTGAACCCCACTAAAGGATGAGTGGCTATCAGAAAGGGCCCCTTCCTGTAGCCCCAGACCGCCCCCCCCATACACACACACACACACACACACACACACACACACACACACGTTTCTTTCCTACTTTTTGGTTTTGCCCAAGACTCCCCCAGCCCCCACATGACTTAGAACAAGAGAAAACCCTCCCTGCCTTTCAGCTTTAGATTCAATTCATGTGTTCCACACACATGCATTCCCCCTGGCATCTGTCCCTAATTTTTTGGGGGGATGCAAGCTAAACGGATCCAAATGAATTTGAAGGATTTCAATGTACTTTCATGGAGAATTTGCAGTGCCTTTCACAGGTACTCAACATAACAACTGAATATATGTAAGTCCCTATTTCCACTGGTGGTCATCTCATAGAGATGACCTCACAGTCCTCTCATTGCCTCACACCTATGAGAGGAAATAGCCTTAAGATAAAGCCAACACTGTATGGAAAACAAGACCTGGAAATGACTGAGTCATTGAGCCACTGATCCCACCAGGTCCACAGCTTCCCTACCTCTCAGCCGCCATCATGTGAGAATAAGGTCCGTACTGGTTTAATCAGTTTTCAGTTAATTTCAGCTGCAAGATACATACATAAAAGGCAGCTCAAAAAAAAAAAAAAGGGCAGCTCAATGACACAAAAGAAAAATGAATGAAAGAAACCTAGGAAGAGCTTAGACAAATCATCTACAATTTCTTTGATGCTATAGAACGCACAATCTCTTTAAAAAGTCAACAAGACATCTACTAGTGTTCGTGGACAGCAAGAGAAGCAAACCAGCGGAACTCAACAACAACACAGAGCTGGACGTCACCATCCTCATCCACAGAAAAGAGAGCAATAGCAATGAGAAATCCAGCCAGAGAGGTAGTAGGAGTTGGGGAAAATAATGGAAAAGACGACAGGATATAGAAATTATTACAAAAAGAGGATATAGGGATCCCTGGGTGGCGCAGCGGTTTGGCGCCTGCCTTTGGCCCAGGGCGCGATCCTGGAGACCCGGGATCGAATCCCATGTCAGGCTCCTGGTGCATGGAGCCTGCTTCTCCCTCTGCCTGTGTCTCTGTCTCTCTCTCTCTCTCTATGACTATCATAAATAAAAATAAAAAAAAAGAGGATATAGAAGTCAAAGGAAATAGGAAAAAAAAACCCAATTATGTTTGTAGAGAGTCCATTACAAATGGAACAGAACAATATTCAAGGACATAACAGAAAATCCGTGACCCAGAGACTGGACTCAGTACATCCTTCTGATTAGCAGCGACCGTGGGGAAGCAGATTCAGGGCAATGACACCGCTGTGTGTCCTGCTTCCTGACTTCAGTGAGAAGGGATCATTGTATGGGCAGCTAGGCCACAACAGCAGGTCATGCAGGGTGTTGGGAAGGAGGAGGATTAGTCTGACGTGGCTTCCACCTTCTGCGTAACACCTTTAATGTCAGAACCTCGCACGTCCAGAGCTGCGTAGTTCTGAGGGAGACAGAAATTACAGCACAAGGAATTTATACCAAGTCCACTTAGAGCATAGAGACCACAGGTATAAAGTAGAGTGTGCACCCAGCTCTTTCTTCAAAAAAAGATGAATTAAAATAAGGCACAAAGGAATAAAACTGGTGAAAAGGACTGACGATGAACTTCGGAGTCTTATTAGAACTCAGACTAAATAATTTAATGTTGGTAATTGAACAGATGATAAATGTGATCATCTCTGGCAATTTTCAGATACTAAAACAAAAGTTCGTGTGGGCAGGAGGAGGTGGGAATAAGGATAAACACGCTTATTTGTCATCATTCACAGGAAAGCATTTTAAGAATTTTTTTTATAATTAAAGTATATTGCCATGAAACAGAAAGCTCTGAGGTCAGAGCTGTTTTGTTAATTGAGACATCTTTTGGGAATTAATATTATCGGTGAAGAAGCACATATTGGAAGTTTAACATTTTGTTCTACTCTTGAAGTAAAATAAAATTGAATGCTTTTTTTTAAAGCATGTATAAAAAAAAATCTCGTGTCTGTGCCTCGACACAAAGAAATGTTTGAAATTACATTTATCTTATGTTAATGATTAATATTTTGGGGTGCTGGAGGATTTTTACCTCTAATTTTATGTTTTGTATGCTGCAGGGCTATCTTGGACTGAAAATACATCGCTTGTAAAAACCACAAAAGTCCTGTATAACAAATGATCCTTTTTTCTCTAAGAGAATATAAATTCAAATATATGTATCTAAATTTTAGAAAAATGTTTAACTGATTACAAATGAGGAAGAACAGCATAGTGGATTTTTTGTTAAGTAAAAATCAAAACTGGCAAGGCTAATGGAAGAGAATAAATGAAATATTCAACTTCATATCACATCAAAATTCTTAAGTTCTACTGTGACCTAAAGTTGTATATTTATACATTTTTAAGTGATTTAAAACTGACGACTGGCTAATGAATGACACATTAAAACATTTAAAAAGTACTTGTCACAGAGAATAGGGACCACACCTCAAGGCAATAACAACCATCACAGCCTTCAGAAAATCACCTCTGCTCCTCCCTGTTGTAAACAACTCATCCTTTGCACCTTGCTCCTTAAAAGGAACTAATTTGAACTGCTACTAACGAACCTGGTGGGCAAAAATAATAATCCGCACCATGTTTCCCCAAAGAGACATGAACTTGGTATTAGAATAATTTCCAAAGAAAGTATTTGTCCAGGTTGTATAACTTTGCTGGAAGGTGCAGTCTTGATCATCTCCGTGTCCCCTGACCCTGGCACAACGCCACCCTCCAGGGATGGATCTGGCTCCTGGGGGCCTGGCTATGACATCCTTCCCAATAAGGAGGAAGCCTCGCGTCAGGTTACCTACTGAGGACTGATAACCAGGGAGGAAGGGGCGGGAGGAGGACTGTTCTGCAGAAACACTCCATCAGCAGGTGCAACTCTTGACCTCAGAGTTGTGATTTTAAACCCCCCGTTGGGTGCAGAGATTGTGTTAAGAAAATAAAATCTTTAAAAAATAATAATAATGCACCAATCTAGTCTAATACTTGAATTTACATTTGATGTTGGTTGATAGAGGTCATGGGATCAGTTCCATGACCAGAAATGGTGTCCCAATCCCAGTGGGCCTGGGTATTGTTGGCAGGAGATGGATCCTTATCACGGAAGTCCTTGGAGCACTCTAGTGAGTTTGGAATTCATCTCAGGTGTAATCAGTGAACTGACAATTACAAGGAAAGGGCCAGAAAGTAGAAGCAGCATCTTGCATGGCCAAAGACAGCAAGGGGAGTTCGGCCCCTGCACTAGAAAGACAAGAGGAGAACACAAACTTGACCCCCCATGGGATTTTGCTAAGTGATTGACGTGAAAAGGTTTCCATGCTGTTTTCCTATGAATCTAGTATCACTCCGTTACCACTACCAACGTTTGTCCCCAGATAAGAACCGATGTCGTCTGTGGAGTTATAAACAATTTAAGATTTCTTATTTAGAAAACAAAAAGTGGGGATCCCTTGCATGGCTCAGTGGTTCAGCGCCTGCCTTCAGCCCAGGGCGTGATCCTGGAGACCTGGGATCGAGTCTCACGTCAGGCTACCTGCATGGAGCCTGCTTCTCCTTCTGCCTGTGTCTCTGCCCACCCTCCTCTTTCTATGTCTATCATGAATAAATAAATAGAATCTTAAAAAAAATAAAAAAGAAAACAAAAAGTGATTCTCTTTTCACATCTCATTCTCACAGCCCACCTTTCTCAGGCCCAGATCCTATGAAAACCTATAACATCATACTGAGGGGGATTGACATGATAGAATTTCCAAAGAAGATTGCCAAAAATGCTGCTAACTTAATTAAAAAACTCTGCAGGTAAGCATTTCAACCACGTGATTTGTGAAAGGTTCATAATGCGAAAGTGATGAGATTCCTCACAGTTCTTATTGTCTTTCCAGGGATAACCCATCAGAAAGATTAGGGAATTTGAAAAACGGCGTGAAAGACATTCAGAAGCACAAGTGAGTGTTCTTTCCTTGTCCCTTTCCGTTGGAGGGTCCAGAAAGCACGACAGGCGACCCAGGCTGTGTGACGGGTAGACTCGCCTACCTACCTACCGGAACATCTAAGGGGACGCCAGACCTTTGATCTGAAGCCCTTCTGCTTGTGTGTCAGGGATGTCACATGACCCTAAGCCATACCAAGTGACGGATTCACTGAATTCAGTTTCTCCAAACTCACCCTAATGGCACATCTCCTCTCTGGCATGAACAGGAAATGTGTACTTTTAATTCTGGGATTCTATTCTCTGCCAGGATATCAAAAACAAAGGACCCCCACCATCGCATGCCTCATTTCCCAGACTAAAACTGGAATTGACTTTTCCAACCACTTCCTAATTAGATGATAAAGGGAAGAAAGAAATACAGGGTACAGTGGGTTTTTTTTTTCTTCTCTCAAACCATAGCAGCATCTTAAATATTATGCCTTACTTAGTCAACTGGAGAGTCAAAGGCTAAACCTAAAACCAAATTAGGTTTTTTTAATTAGCCTGTGTTTATAACAGTCACAGGAAATGCACATCCCTACCAGAAGAACGTATTTATCGAACTATGTTTAAATACCCTGAAACACCTGCTTAAGAATTTGGTGCTAGCATTTGCTAAAGACAAAACAAAACGAAACACTTTAGTGTTATTGGGTCCTCATTTTTGCAGATAAACTACACCAAGTACTGTAAGTCTATTTTAATTAAACGTGTTGACATCTTATTAGGAATTATGATGACCCTAATACTGCATATTTAATGTTTTCTTCTATGAACACATCGAAAAAGTGCCAAGTCAGAGTTAGACCTAATACGGTGATATGGAAAGGTTAATTAACTGAAGCCGCCCACTGAATCGGTGCAAAACTAGAAGGGTAATTTCCTAGCCTGACTTTTCATGCCCCGACTCTACTGCCTTAAAATAAAAAAGTCCTATAAGACTCAGGGGCCAAGCTATCATGACACTTACTAAATTATAATGATACTGTAAAAACAAGATCATACAGACATTCTTCCTGAAATTGCTAGGAAAGGAGTTATTTTCTAACGAGTGTTAAATATCTCAATAATTAACTTATTTTATGGGAATGCATATTTTTAAAAACCTAACCATAAAAATGTGCAATGAAATAGAATATACTCTTGTCTCATAGAAAATGTTTGCCTAGCGGCTTTCCTTCAGACATGTCCATCACCCATGTTGCGATGAGAAGGTTTTAGCTGATACGATGCCTTTAACTAGCTGCCTTTTTTTCTTTTCTTTTCTTTCCTAGATGGTTTGAGGGCTTTAATTGGGAAGGCTTAAGAAAAGGCACCTTGACACCTCCTATAATACCAAGTGTAAGTAGACTTCCCAGTTTATACTCATGTGATGCACATCATGGTGTTTATGTCAGTTGCTGAAGTTTCATCCTATGATCCCTTGAAATAAACTATAGGGGAAAGTACCACATTCGAATAGTGATATCAAAATCCAAGCTTAAAAAACAGATCAATTAGGGGATGGTCGTTTTATGTGTGTTTTACCATTACCTTTCTAAACTATTTATTCTAATATCTTTTGTGTGTGAATAAGAGCGGACCTTTAGTAGAGTAAGTGTTAAATATACATTGATGTAGACAGAAGAGCATAAGGAGGGTCCAACAACCAGTTTCTTTTTTCTCATAAAACATAAACTTCACACATCATTGCCCAAGAATACATGAACAACTTTAATGAATTAGTCCTATTCTTGAATTATGACCAGTGTAGTGTATACTATATTTGGGTGCATTAGGGCAATGTGCTGTTATTTTGTTTTTACGATCCTAATTTACACCCCATCTTGCTCTGTTCCCAAAAGCCTGACCCATAAGGGCCACTCAGAGCATCTCTTTGCCCCCTGGTTTCTGACTAAGTTTGGTCAACAGTCCGGCAACCATTTTCAACAGCTACCAATTCCTGGGTCATAGTGGGTTTTGTTTTTTGTTTTTTTGTTTTAATGCCCCACACCGTTCCTCCTCCCTGACCCCATATCACTTCAAATGAAGTACTCCCAGGCAATACCATGTTCATTTACCCTTTCATGGGGCCCTAAAAGAAAATGATTCTCTTTCCTTCACTGTCTTTTCTGAACACATCAGGTGTTTCGTTACATGGCAGCCCACTAACGGTGATTTAGTGTTTGCATGTTTCCATATTTTTATTTAATGCTGCATGTGTCTGATGAAATGTGCTGCATCTTTACAAAGAGACAGAGGGCTGCTTGGCGGTAATCAGGTATATACTTTTTTCTCCAGCTAACTCAAGACTGCTCTTTATGCAGAAACATTTTCCCTACTTCTAAGATTTATTTCTGTGTGGAGGCTTATGTTTATTTACAGACAAAAGAAAAATCCCATTACCCTGTCTCCCAATACAGATGCTAATTGCATGCATGAGGTTTTGATTTTAGAACAAAAGTAGAATAAGGAACTTGGAGGGATAGTTAGCCTAAATGATATGTACCTAAATCTATCAGTGGTTTCTTTTTCTGCCACAGTAATACTGAATGGGATAGATTTATGGGTATGCCCATATATCTTTCATTCAATATTAATATACAAATGGTCCTAAATATTACAGAATATGAGGGAAACTAAAGTGTGGATTTTCACCACTTTTACTGATGCTCTACAAATTGGACTTTACCCAGTAAATTTGCAAGAGTTTTGGCTAGAGTTTAGAAATGCCTTTTTATTATACTTGAAATGCAAAGGCAAAAGCCACAAGACAGACTACAAGGCTCTACATGACCTGATATCTGCCTATTTCTCCTATTTCTCCTTCCACTCCTCTCCTCTCTTATACAGCAGCCACACTAGACTTTTTTTTTTTGGTTACTTCATAGCATGAAGCACTCGCTCTCTCTCACCTCAGGCCCTTTGCATGTGCTATATCCTCTTTATCAAACTCATGGATTCTTAGTTTTGAAATAATATTTTTTTCAAAGAGGCTCCTCATCATCACCTAGACTGTCATGTCTTTTTTCCTCATAGCAACTACCAAACTTGATAACCATTTAGAGATTTTTGTGATTATCTGTTTTAATTATACAGTGTACCCTCTGCCAGAGTAAAACATCAGGAGCCAGGTCTATTTTTATTCACCACTGTTACGCTCAATAAGAAGCACAAAATCTGCTGCCTGATAGACCCTTAAAAAATAGTTCATTAGGGAATGAATAAAGAATGTTTTTTAGGGCAACCCAGGTGGCTCAGCGGTTTAGCGCCGTCTTCGACCCAGGGCATGATCCTGGAGACCTTGGATTGAGTCCCATGTCGGGCTCTCTGAATGGAACCTGCATCTCCGTCTACCTATGTATCTCTCCCTCTCTCGCATGATCTGTGTGTGTGTGTGTGTGTGTGTGTGTCTGTGTCTCTCATGAATAAATAAAATCTTAAAAAAAAAAAAAAAGAATGTTTTTTAGGAGCACCTGGATGGCTGTCAGTTAAGTATGTGCCTTCAGCTCAGGTCATGATCCCAAGGTCCTGGGGTGCAGCCCCTACTGAGCAGAGAGCCTAACACAGGGCCTCTCTCTCTGCCTCTGCCTCCTTGTGTGCTCTCTCTCTCTGTCAAATAAATAAATCAAATACTTTTTTAAAAAACAATATTTTTAAAAAATCCAATCTGGAATTTGACTCACCAACCAAGAAGTCCTCCCACTGTTCATTCTCTCGTTCGCAGGTTGCATCACCCACAGACACAAGCAATTTCGACAGTTTCCCTGAGGACAATGACGAACCGCCACCTGATGACAACTCAGGATGGGACATAGACTTCTAATGTATTTCTCTTACCTGCTTCTGCCTTGCTGAAGTCAGCTTTTTTCTGAGACACAGCTGCCAGCAAACCTGAGGGACGGAGAGAAGATAAGTGCTCGGGGTCACCATGATGCCTTTGATCGATGCTGCTCCGGTAACTACAGTGGCATTAGGACTTATTGCTTAGATGACAATAGTGCTCTTTACATGTTTTCTGTTTGATCCTAAAAAAAAAAAAAAATAGCAGTTGACATGGTGGTCCTGAAGCAAAGCCTTTCACACCAGTAAAGAGAGGTTTTCTGTGGTTGCAATGATCTTGCTTTGCTCTGACTATAATTTGAAAGACTGTAAGAAACACTTCAACCTAGTAAAAGAGTCTGTACCTTGCTAGAATTATCGAAAAGATCAAAAAATAATATATTGGGTATGATAGATTGCTGTGGTACCAAAACTGGGCTCTTCCTTTCCTTCAAGTGAGGTTGTAGGATATATATTAGCGCAAGCCGGTGTATATACCGTTTAGAAGAGGGCCACACATCTACTGGTCACAGAGTTCATGTCAAACCAGTGCTAGAAGTTTCATGATTTAATTTCCCAGCAGTGCTGATGACAAGACTGAATGTTACCTTTCCTTTCTGACAGATTTTAAAAATTGATACGATAAAAGCACAACTGCTATGGATTCTGCTGAGAACTTTCATAGCAGGTATATACGCATTTTCACAGAGGATTGAAAAACAAACAAAAAACAACAACATGCATGATCTTTGTTTCTTTTTTGATAAATTGGCATGACAGAGTGAAAAAAAAGCAACTCACAAACCATTTCATATCTTTTCAAATATTGTGCTTCAAGACGGTCCTGGAAATAAATGACTAGCAGCCAACCGATTTTTATTTATTATGTAACATGCCCTCAGACTGAGGCTTAAAATAGTCCCTTTTATAAGAATAAACCCTTGGGGTGGGGGCAGGGTGGGGTGGAGCGGGACTAAGATCGATCCAAAAATAAAAATAAAAATAAACTATATAGGTGCTATGTATATCTTTCATCTGTAAATGTCCGTGTCTGAGCAGACAACACAAATTCTAATCATCACCTGTGTAGCCAGAGACTCAAGCATTCTTCACTGCATTTACCAACTGAACTCCCATCAGATTTCACTGACACAACGTAGCCTAGGGTCGAGGGGGAAAGGGAATCAAAACCCATTCCACTGGCTTCTTGTCTTAGGCCTGAACCAAAAGAAGAAGAAGAAAGCACAAAATCGTTGAGACTCACCAGATAAGGAACCTGGCTTACGTGAGGTCAGGGAGTGGGACCAGCCTGGCCAGGTGTTGTCTACCTTTTGACCAATGAGCCAGTGTGAGTTCATCGCACGTTATGGGAATAGGAAGGGAGTAGAGAAGAAAACAGGACCCTGATCTCTTAAACATAAATTTTGGCTAAGTAGGACAGAAATATCACAATCCTGAAATGCATCTGAAAATACCGCACTGATTTGCTTTTTTTCCATGAAGGGGAAAGAAAGAGCAGTTTAAACTGAACCCTCTGCTGGTAGGTGAGTTAAGGCCAATTAGCCGTCCTAAGCAGCAGACCGGTCGGAAGCTTTTCCTGGACAAGGAGTGTTTTTACCTGCGTAAACAAACGCAAAGTCTTATGAGCTGTCATCCTGATTTGGAACCATGAGTGCATTTGGGATACTAACTGAAGGTTGCTTTTATCCGGTATAAAATTTAGTTTCTTTTTAAAGTCAATGAAACGTAAACATTTCTGCCCAAAAAATATGTCCACAAAGGTCATTATTACCATATCCCAGGAGGCATATCTTATTATTTCTGTTGGAATTTTTCATACTAAGGCTACTTTAGAATATGGTATCAAAACATAACAGTCTAAGAAACATTTGGGGAATAAAAATACTACGGGAGGGCATATTATGTCTCATCAGAATAAAGCGATGTTAAACTTTTGATCCCAAGAGGTTACTGCTATTCTTACAGTAGAGTTTTCCCTCCTTTGCGAATAATTGCTTACAATCCCTTTATGCCCCCAAGATATCCACTTTCTTCTACAGATTTCAGAATGTAAAAATTAAACGTATCAACCTAAGATCCGGCTCTGAATGCTATTTCAGCATCTCTATATTGCTTTTAACTGGGCTTTGAAAAAGTATATAATTTCAACACCATGGTCAATGTTCAGTGATTTTTGTGGAAAGCTAGAGTGTGGAGGTTTGTTAGAATACTAAGTTTACCTAAATACCACCCCCCTGCCAAAGCCCCAGAGCTTAGCGCTCCCTGCGGATGTTGGAACTCTGGTTCAAGTCTAAGACAACAATGTACAAGTCCTCTGAGGAATGAAGAAGTAGCAGCAGCTCGATGGAACGGTCTACCATTTCTCCTACTTGTTAGCACATCGTTGTTGCATTTCACCTGTGGCATCGCATACTAACCAATAGAAGGCGAACTACATCTTCCAAAAAGTTGCTAAGAGAAAAACAGTCCTCTAATCTTCAGCATTGAAATTCAAGGGTTTAAATCTTGTCTTAACGAAGACACTAGGGCTAAAAATCATGGTCAGCTTCGTAGAGCGCATCTCACATTATTTCTGAATTTTTCATGCCCCTTCTCTTTTTCCTCACACTAAAGAACATCTGGGTAAGTTAGGATAGTGCCAACTTGTTCGATTTGTTAACTGACTTTCTTGTTACTACTCTGAGTATGGGAAATAAGGGCTTTCCGTGTGTCTTGGCACACAGGAAAAACTGCAAACTGCCAAGGAAAGGAACATCATGATATTTGAGATAAATTGAACACATTAGAGGAAACGAGTTCTGGAAAATCGCTATAAATGATTTTTACGTTTCTATCTTCTTTGTTACTCACCTGCGAGTCAGATCCATGTGGCATTTAAAACAAATTTCTTTGATGATATTCTTTACAAGTCACTTTTTTTTTTTACTTAAAATTATGGGATAGGCATGTGAATCACACGTGTGATATAGAAATTCAGCTATTGAATTTTTGTCGTTTTATTTCTACATGACTGAACTGATGGTGAACTAAATTTACAGAAGTCAGCTACCATACTGAAAATTAGGATAGCAGAACTGATTTCATACGGTAGAGGTGATCTGTGCATTATCCATAACGACGTTTTCTTTCACAATAGGACCACAGACAAATATTTATGTAAATAGATATTTTTGTGTGATATTTTGTGGTACATATAACTTTTTTTTAGTGTTTCACAGCATTATTATTTCATTTTCTTTGTATTGAATACTGTTTTTAGGTCCAAGTAGACTTGAATTAATGTCATAATTGTCAGTATTATTGAAAATTATGTCAACTGTATGGTTTCATCTGTTCCATAGTTTAGAACATGACCTGGCTATCTGGCATTGTTGCAAGTGCCTTAAATTCATGGCATCCTATTAAAAAACAAATTTGGTGTTATGCTGCATGACAAAGACAAATACACCTCAAAATGTTGTCCTTTCTTAGCTTGCTGCGTTTTACAGTTCTTTCTGCTAACAATTTATAAGCCTTTATTATATAATATTGATGAATTACAGAAATGATGAAGTCGCTCTCTTATTTCTGTTACATGTACCAGAGCTGTGTATCTGTTACGGAGATACAGCGTCATTTCTGTGAAATGTAAAATGTATGTGCAGGTCAAATTAATATATGACATACTATCAGTCTGTATACAGGCATTCCTGTTTTGCTAAGCTGTGCAGATTCAGTTAAAAAAAAAAAAACAATGAGTGCAGTCAAGTTCTAGCGTCTCATTTTATAGACTCCATTACCAACTCAAAAGAAAAATTGGAAAGTGACTGCTAACCACACCTCGTTATGAAACCAATGATGAACACGTACCTTGGTGCACTCCTCAACAAAACAGGATGCTTTCTGAGTTCTTGTATATGCAAATCATTTATGAGGCAAGTTTGCAACAGACCTGGAAAGATAAAATTGGAAGTGTGTTGTTAGCCCTCCTCTTTATCTGCCCCTGACTTAACAGAGCTCTGGGACCTTGACAGTGACTCAGAGGTTTGGGCTTTCCGAGGCAAGGGACTTTTCTTCAAGTATCATCTATCCAATTTATTTCATTGTATGATGTTTTTACAACTGGTCAGTTCTTTTGTATTCTTACAGCTATGGTTACTTGATTGTCCTCTTACAATTTGTTCTACATGAAAGAGTCCTTTGTTAGTCAGAATGCAACAACTGTCATCAAATGGTCATTGACCACTTGCACTCTTTTGATGTAGATTAAAAACTTTTTCATAAAATTAACCTGCTTTGATTTGCTCTGTATTTTTCCTGCAGCTGTAATTGCCGAGTGCCTGTTGTATACTTTATAGAGTTGAAATAAAAAAAAATAATTACTTTTGAACTTAGTTGATGTTTAATTCCAGACAAGATACCAATAATATGGTCGATGTATCATACTGGAATGGAAATACCCTGCAGTGCTGTTGGAGAACGTTACTAAGACAATGTAAAAATTACTTATAACCCAAGTGTCCTTCACAACGTCGTGTATTACGATCTGTTATAAAACTAATCTAGCAAATGGGTTTAAAGAATTCAGGAGGGATAATGGAAGGCCATCCAGTGTGAACAGAAAAGCAAACAAACCCCACACAAACCCCAACCTCGGCAGTGTTCTATGCACCACGACCACTACCCACCACCACACACTCCTTGTTTGGGCCACCCCTAGTCAAACTCTGAACCAGGCAAACAATCAAAAAGACAATTCTTGTATAATGCTATGTGCTACAAGGGAATTATTTCACATGGAAAGCAATGTCGTGAATCTTAGTCTACAGTTTATTGGCCTGAACCCTCTGTTATGTTTTATATTTATAAAGACTATAAATGTAGAAAACAATGCTACTGCAACAATTTCAATTCCCCAAAACCCCAGTGAACATATTCCTCTATCCCTTTGTTCCTCATTGCAGTGAACAGAACACAAAATTGACAAAGATTTCCTTAACTGTCTTTGTCTCGTTGACATCCCATTGCCAGTGATGGTGAGTTGAAACCCCTTTTAAATAAAAACTAGAAATAATCCAATTAACTTCACCAGATAGAACTAATAGAACTTTAAACCGTATTATCGGGATCCCTGGGTGGCGCAGCGGTTTGGCGCCTGCCTTTGGCCCAGGGCGCGATCCTGGAGACCCGGGATCGAATCCCACGTCGGGCTCCCGGTACATGGAGCCTGCTTCTCCCTCTGCCTGTGTCTCTGCCTCTCTCTCTCTCTGTGACTATCATAAATAAAAAAATAAATAAATAAAATTTAAAAAAATAAATAAATAAACCGTATTATGTCACCACAGCATATGCAATAATTTCATTTCTCCTGCAAATAGAACTGAACATTAGGTTTTCACTATCCATCAAGTCCTGTGATTTTCATACCCTTGATCTAAGCATGGTCTTCTGTGATCCTGGAAAGGATTTTTTTTGGCGATAATTACAGTTTTTAGAGAGGCGTGTAGACCAATACTTATGATCCATTAGTGTGGAGGATGGTAAGAATGTTGTATCCACACCATAGTCACATCGTGTGCATGCTATTTGCAATTGAAGTAAATCACTACACAATTACTTGACTATCATAACAGGAACCAATTATAAATTTGATCTGAATGTATTCTTGATCATCCAACTTGATCACATATTATGCTTGCAGATCAACCCTTAGATTCTCAGAAATAGCCCTAAATGTGCAATGCACATAACACAAAACAACCATCACACTAGTGTTTTTTTCTTGAGAGCCCTAGTTTAGAGTTTCTCCCTGTTCCATACATCTCCTTTCCAACTCAAAAGGCCCATAAATTCATAAGACAGTAATGTTTACATATTACAGCTGTTTTTCACCCCATGAAAAACATAGACTCACCCCAGATCCATCCTTGTGCCCATTAGCAAAGCTAGACAGGTTAATCTCAACCTCAGGTAAAAATAATAAAAATCAAATGAATCAAAAGAAAGATATAAAGAGAAAAAGAAAGAAAAAAGAAAAATTTAAAAAAATCATCCCAAATAACCCTAAAGGTTGGCACAAATTCCATAAAAATTAATCCACAGGCTCTCAAGGCACATACTCCAGACCAGTATTTTTCAAACATCAAAGTCAGAATATATGTCTGGGAAATACGGTGAAAACTTATTTCCAGCGTCACTCATAGTTGTTTTGAGATAGCCCAAGAATCTACTTTTAACAAGCACCTTAGTATATTTTGTTGAAGTTATTTATATATATCCATGGAAGATAAATAGGAATAAAGGATTCATGGGAAATCATTCCAGAAATGATAACGTAAAAAGGGAAGAGAAAAACCATGGTGGACATGGTTTCAGCCACCCCACTAGGGCACCCCTTCGTGGAGCACCACAGGACAATCCTGCCTGCACCAGTCTTGGCTTCGGTAGCCTGGCCAGGGCACTCCCTACCCTGAACACCTTAGCACAACCCAGCTTGTACCTGATTCAGCTTCAACTGTCCCACCAGGTCACCTTCTGTATGGAGAGTGCTGGGACAACCTTGCTTAAATCACCACAGCATCAGCTGTCCTGCCAGGGTGTATTTTGCTCAGAGAGCCCAGTGAGATTCCAGCCCATGCCCATTTTAGCTTTAGCTGTCTTGCCAGGGCCCCTCACAGCATGGAGCACCCCTGCCTGTGCCTGTCTCAGTTCTGGCAGCCTCTTTGGGGCATCCCCCACCATGTGGAGAGTCCCAGGGTACCTCAGTTTTCTTACATCTACTTCAGCTTCAGCTGTCCTGCCAAGGTGAACCTGTGTGTGTAGGGACCCAGGTGGCTGTAGATTACCCCTACTTTAGTCTTAGCTACGCTGCCAGGGTATTCTCTACACAGAACTACAGAACTCAGAGACTCCCAGCCTATACCCTGCCACAGATCCAGCCACCCACCAGCACATCCCGTGCACACAGTGTCCTAGGACAACCTGGCTTATATCCATCTCAGCCTCCACTGTCCTGGATGGGTACTCTCGGTGCCTATATACTGGACCACCATAGCTGCATCCTTTTAGCTACCCTGACAGGGTTCCCACTACTGGAAAGCCCCAAGATTCCCTGACCCTTGCCAGCCACAGCTCCAGCCAGCCAGAAGTCACCAAGCGCACACAATCTCATAGAAGACAACCATATGAGACTATTCCTTCAAGGGACGCCTGGGTAGCTCAACAGTTGAGTGTCTGCCTTTGGTTCAGGGTGTGATCCTGGGGTCCTGGGATGGAGTCCTACATTGGGCTCCCTGCAGGGAGCCTGCTTCTCCCTCCGCTTGTACCTCTGCCTCTCTCTGTGTATCTCATGAATAAATACATAAAATCTTTATAAAAAAATCAAACAGACTATTCATTCAAGATTAGAAGCAGCTAGCTGTTCTCCCTAACCCACAAACATAGAGAGTCAAGCAATATGGGGAGACAGAGAAATATGCTCCAAAAGAACGAACAAGAAAAAAAGCTCAGAAAATGAGGTGAATGAAACAAATACTCATGAGGCTGGAGAAGAGTGGAAGAACTCAGTGAGACCTTCAGTGAAGAAAGAGAAAATATTTTTTAAAAAAAGAACCAATCAGAGTTGAAGAATATAATAAGTGAATAAATTTTTAAAAGATTTGAAGAATATAATAAGTGAATAAATTTTTAAAAGCACATACTAGAGGGCATCAACAGTGGACTAGCAGTAGCAGAAGAATCTTTCAGCAATCCCTAAGCAAGGATAATAAAAAGCACTCAAGTAAAACAGCAAAAAGTGATTAGAATTTTTGAAATGAGGATAGCTGACGGGATCTCCTCAAGCAAACACACGCTCCCATTATAGGATCCCAGAAGAAGAAGAAGAAGAAGAGAGAAAAGGGTAAACAACATATTTAAAGAAATAAATGCTAAAAACTTAACCTAACCTATGGAAGGAAATAAATATCCAGGTAGGTCCAGGAAGCACAAAGAGTTCCAAAGAAGATGAACCCAAGGAGGTCCACATCACAGCAGGTAATCATGAAAATGTCAAAAGTTAAAGAGAGAATTTTAAAAGCAGCAAGACAGAAGCAAAACATTATCTACAAGTGAAAACCAATAAGGTTCTCCAGCTTTTTTTTTTTTCAGTAACACTCTTGCAAGCCAGAAGGGATAGCATGATATATTCAAAGTGATGAAAGGAAAAAAAATCTACAACTCAGACCACTCTACACCTACCAAGTTTATCATTCAGATTTGAAGAGCTAAAGAGCTTCCCAGACAAATAAAAGAGTTTATCACCACAAACAAGCATTACAATAAATGTTAAAGGAACTTCTTCAATAAGTAGAAAAGAAATGGCCAAAAAATAAAATGATTAAAAAATGTAAAATAGGGATCCCTGGGTGGCGCAGCGGTTTAGCGCCTGCCTTTGGCCCAGGGCACGATCCTGGAGACCCGGGATCGAATCCCACGTCAGGCTCCCGGTGCATGGAGCCTGCCTCTCCCTCTGCCTATGTCTCTGCATCTCTCTCTCTCTCTCTGACTATCATAAATAAATAAAAAAAAAATTAAAAAAAAATGTAAAATATGGGCAGCCCCGGTGGCTCAGTGGTTTAGCACCACCTTCAGCCCAGGGTGTGATCCTAGAGACCTGGGATCGAGTCCCACGCCAGGCTCCCTGCATGAAGGCTGCTTCTCCCTCTGCCTGTGTCTTTGCCTCTCTTTCTCTCTCTCATGAATAAATAAATAAAATCTTTTTTAAAAATGTAAAATATGACGGTATACATAAAATGTGGAAGAAGAATTTAAAAAGAAAGAAAAAGCACCTCTTTTGCTTTTTACAATGGGTTTGAACTTAAATGACCATCAAATTAATATAAAGTGCATTTACTTAGGAAATTATATATGAATCTTGTGGTAACCAAAATCACAAAACCTAAAAAAGTTACACAAAAATAAAAAGAAAGGCACACTAGCCCTTTATCTGATAGGTCATTTACAAATATTTCCTCCTATTCTGTAGGTTGTCTTTTAATTTTGTTGATTGTTTCAACAAAATTTTGCTGTGCAGAAGCTTTTTATCTTGATGAAGTCCCAAGAGTTCATCTTTGCTTTTGTTTCCCTTGCCTTCATAGATGTATCTTGCAAGAAGTTGCTGTGACCAAGTTCAAAAAGCGTGTTGCCTGTGTTCTCCTCTAGGATTTTGATGGATTTTTGTCTCACATTTAGATTTTTCATCCATTTTGAATTTATCTTTGTGTCTGGTATAAGAGAACATCTAGTTTCAT